CAGACACCGGTGCTTCTATATCCACCGTGCAGTGCTAGATGCTGAAGATAAGTCTCAAAAAGCTTAGGCTAAGCTTAGGGCTTAGGCTATATCTGCTAGCACCTTCCATTTTCACCCTTCCACACCGTTGGTCCACTTCCGAGAGAGACAGACAGACAGACAGACATCAGGATAGAGGCACAAAAAGCATGTCAGCAACTCCATCCATCTTCTCGTTGCCTTGGCGTAACCCTGTGTTGTAGCAGATTTCTTTAAGCTGCTTCCAGAACTATTCTACATTTCAGCAGGAGGTCAGCATTTCTCGAGCCAATCATTCTTTCTTTCTTTTCTTTTCTTTTCTTTCTTTCTTTCTTTCTTTCTTTCTTTCTTTCTTTCTTTCTTTCTTTTATTTTTTGGGCATTTTTTCATATTCTTTTTTTTAAAGTTTATTTATTTATTTTGATAGAGCCAGGGAGGGGCAGAGAGAGAGAGGGAGAGAGAATCCCAAGCAGGCTCTGCGCTGTCAGCATGGAGCCTGACGCGGGCTTCAACTCATGCACTGTGAGATCATGACCTGAGCTGAAATCAAGAGTCTGATGCTTAATTGACTGAGTCACCGAGGCGCCCCTGGAGCCAATCTTTTCCATACAATTCCAGCATCAGGTCTCCGAGGGGCACTCAGCAGCATTGCACTTAACCATTTGAGCAGGCTGCTGACCTTTTCAGGTCTTTGCAGCCGTTTGGGAACTCTTAAGAGAAGGCTTTATTAGCTACCCCTTTTTTCTCTTGGTGTCTGTGTTACCACCATCTCCCGGTTCTCCCATCTGTCATGTCGACGTTCCCATTTCTGGCTTCTCTTTCTTTGCCCACGAAAGCGTTGACCTTCTTCGGGATTCTGATCCACAGGCTCTCTCTGGAGGACCTCTTCTTCTTCTATAGTTTTAGCCACCCTTATTTCACCGGGCTTCCAGATCTATACATCTCCAGCCTAGGCACCATTTCTGATTCCAGAACTCAATATCTGTTGGGTCATCAGGCACCTTCATCATCTGGATGTCCCTGTTTCACCTCCACAGTCACATTCCACACATATTTACCTCTGTTTTTCTTTTTCTTTTTTTTACATTTTATTTATTTTTGAGAGGGAGAGAGAGAGAGAGCGCGCGCACACCAAGTGGGGGAGGGGCAGAGAGAGGGAGACACAGAATCCGAAGCAGGCTCCTGGCTCTGAGCTGTCAGCACAGAGCCTGATGCGGGGCTTGAACCCACGAACCATGAGATCATGACCTGAGCCGACGTCAGTTGCTTAACCGACTGAGCCACCCAGGTGCCCCTTTACCTCTGTTTTTCAAGAGTGTGGTCAGGTGAACTTACCTCTCTGCTCCCCTGTGCCCCATGCTGTTTTTCTTCCTCTTTTTCTTGTTTTGGTGAATGGTACCACTGGCCATTCAGTCATCCAAGCCAGAACCTTTCTTCCCCTTTCTTCACCTCCTGCCTGCAATCATTTACCAAGTTCCTTTCATAGCCAGATATTTTTCTCCATCCTCACAGCTACTGTCTTATTTCAGGCCCTCATCCCTGGGCCTGGACTTTGGCAGTTGTCCTAACTGATATCACTGCCTCCAATAGTCCTTCTGTCGACTCCAATTTTTCTTGGCCTGAAGCTTAAAGTGCAAACTCCTGAGCATTGACTGTGCTGGATGATATTTCTTTGCTCTGTCTACCTTTACATTTTCCTTCTCCCATCCCTCCTACCCTGGCTGAAAGATTGTTATGAACTCTAAAAAAAATTACCGTATTACTTAATGACTCAGCTCTTTTATGAATCCTACTGTTTATTGAATGCTGACTACGTAGTATTTAACCTCAAAACAACTCCATTGGGTGGTTATTATCACCCACATTTCACAGGCGAGGAAGTTCAAGTCCACAGTGCTAACCAACTTGGCCTGAGGCCACACATCTAATAACTGGCAGAGCCAGAATGTCAAACACCTCCCTTTGGCACTCACAGTATTTTCTATATTACATGTGAATGTCAGGCAATGTGTCCCTATATAACTTTTCAGCCTTCACACTACTTTCTGTGTGGTAGATAATGTCATACTCTTTGGGGGATTATAGAGTACGTCCACATACCTTCTGCCCCGGCCAAACTGCCCTTCTTGCCTTTGCTGCGGAGTTCTGTCTTGGTTACCCTCCCCCTCTCTTTCCCAGTCTTGCACACCCTTCAGGGTCCAGTTCATCTCCTCTGTGAAACCTGTCCAACCTCAGATCATTTGGACTGCCTTTGAACTCTGTGCAGCTCGTGGTAGGGACCAGTTTGTGACCAGCTCCCCAAATTCATGTGCTCACCAAGCATTATCTGTAGGTGAAATAATTCACACCTTGTACATGCATTTACCTCTGTTTTTTCAAAAGTGTGAAAATATTTTTTCTTTTATTATTAATTTTAAATTGTTAATTTTAAAAATATTAAAATATTTTTTTCTCATTATTATTTATAGAAAGATAATGTGACAGAGCTCTCTAGGTCCCCTAAATCGATTCTACCCTCTTCCACAGTATATAAGAGATACACTGCTCTCCATTTTAGACTACATTTTCTAGTGTTCCTTACAGCTAAATGTGGTTATGTAACCAAATTGTGGTCAATGGAGTGTAAGCAGAAGTGTCGGGTCCTAATTCTGGAAAGCTGAGGTTTATAGAGATTAAATAACTCACCCCTAGGTCACACAGCTAGTACCTGGTCAAGCCATGGTTAGAATCTGAGTCACTCTGACTCTAACACTCACATAATGTCTTTCCTGCTGGCTGGAATGAGGATGTGATGCTGGAGCTGAAGCAGTCAGCTGGGATCATGAGTTTGAAGTGGTGTCCGGAGGACAGCAGATCCTCCATCATACGATCATAGGGACCTGAGCACCTGCTGTTTGAGAAGGCCAGTCCTGAACTGCTTTTGATTATATGAGAGAAATCAACTTGTATCATAAAGAGTGTTATTTCGTTTTTCCATTATTTAAAAAAAATTTTTTTTAATGTTTTTATTTATTTTTGAGGCAGAGAGAGACAGAGCATGAGCAGGGGAGGAGCAGAGAGAGAGCAGGAGACACAGACTGGGAAGCAGGCTTCAGGCTCTGAGCCATCAGCACAGAGCCCGACATGGGGCTCGAACTCACACACCTTGAGATCGTGACCTGAGCTGAAGTCGGACGCTTAACCGACTGAACCACCCAGGCGCCCCTTGTTTTTCCATTATTGACAGACGAGTCTATACTACTATAAAGTGCTCCTATATTCACAGGAACTTTTTTCGTACTGTATTTTCTCCGTCAGTGCTGTAAAAAGTACAGTGCTGTTGTGGATATCTGTAAAATACGTTAACTCTTACATGAGATCTTCAGCCTCAAAGGACAGAATAACTCTGTTAGGATAAATCATTTGTGGTCAGGGACACATTGCCTGACATTCATATGTAAAATTTGCAATTTCGTAGCAAAACTGGCAACTATTACAGGGCTGGTACTATGTCTCAGTACATCTTCACGTTCCCTAGAGTGTGTAGTACGATGTCCAGAATATACTATTAGGTGATTAATAAATTTTGGTTGATGGATATCTTCATACGTGATAATTAGTGTGATTTGTTTCACTTATTTTAATTTAATTTTATTATTTTTTTACTTAAAAACTTTTTAGAGTGTAGTTGACACACGATGTCATATTAGTCTCAGGTGTACGACATGATGATTCAGGTTCTTTATACGTTATGCTATACTTCACTTTTTTTTTTTGAAAAGTTTCATTTAATATATACTCTATAATTCTTTTTTTTATGTTTATTTATTTTGAGAGAGGGAGGGAGAGAGAGAATCCCAAGCAGTCTCCACACTGTCAGTGCAGAGCCCAACACGGGACTCCGATTCACAAAACCATGAGATCATGACCTGAGCCAAAAATCAAGAGTCAGATGCTTAACCGACTGAGCACCCACTAGCCCCTATATTCTATATTTCTTAAACACCTCTCTGGTGGCATTTTTCTACTTTAGTATTTTTGTTAACTTTGTATTTGTTTGATTTTTGGTACTTCTGTTAGGGAAAATATATACACAAGAAATTTAATACACTATATATTCTCCTTAGTTCCTCTGGGAGTATATTTTTAACTAAGCAATGTATGAATATTGTTATAAATACTTCAAATAATGAAAGTGATAAAGTGAATGCTTCTTTTCATCCCTTCCCTTAATCCAAACCTCTCTCATTTTTATATTCCCTAAAAACTGAAATATAAATCTGTCACAGCAAGAAAAGTAGAGTTCAGACTGCTTTATGTTACATTGGGATTTGATTATGTGTTAGGTATACATTGAGGAAAGTTTAAAGTGAGAGTGACTCCTAAATTATTTTTAGCTTTAAAATAGAAAATAAATTCATATTAAAGACTTAATTATTTGACTCTTAAATCCAAAATAATCATATTTTTTTCTTGTGCCCCTAAAACTGTTTGAAACTATGCAGGCGGGCATGTCACAACTCAAAACAGTCTTTGTAGAGTAAAAATTTTGTAGTTCAATGATTTCTTTTTTTTTTTTAAGATTTTCTGATATATAAAGCCCACAGTTTCATTAATTTTAAAAGCAGATGCCATTTAAAAAAAAAAAAAGAAAAGCAGATCCCTTTATTTTTACCATCAAAACAAGAGGGACTGTACCTTCAAGCAGTATTTACGGTATTTAACTTATTAAGAAGGATATTCATTTTTTGCTAATCTTTTGCTCGTTCAGCTTCATATTATGCTGTCTGTATAGGTTGAGTGAAATTAAAGTCCACACAGAGGTGGCATTATATGGAAATGGTGGAGGGCAGGAGCAGGTAGACATAGGCACCATTCCTTTCCCTCGGTTCCCTCTCTCTTAAGAGCGTGCACCACAAGTGTTTCCAAGAAGTCATTTGGAAACAGACAGGTCCTGCAGGTCCTTTGGAAAGTGTTAGTCTGTTTGGAATTCTTCCATCTCAATGGAGTCCAGTTCGCTGGTTGGAATCGAATTTCTGATGCTTTCTGGAACTGCAGAAACTGCATTAGAAGTTCCACCAATAAGTTAGTGACCAAGCATATTGTTAAGCAACTCCTTGCACTTACAGCTTTATTAGGCACTACTGGGGACACACATTGTCCACTAGTATTCTCAAAAGTGGTATAGTTTCTGATTGGAGAGATGACCTTTAATGTGAAACAGTAAGAGGATAAGCAGCTTATGTTTAAGTGTGAATTTTGAGGTTTGAATCAAAAGTGCATTAGGACTTAGGGAAACTTTTTACCCATGGGTAAGGTGTGGGATGGGAGAAGAGGTGATACATTTTTAAAAATTATTTTTGAGAGAGCACAAGCAGGGGAGGGACAGAGAGAGAGGGAGAGAGAGAATCCCAGGCTGACAGCATGAAGCCCAATGCAGGGCTTCGGCTGATGGACTGTGAGATCATGGCCTGAGCTGAAATTAAGAGTCAGGCACTTAACCCACTGAGCCACCTAGGCACCCTGAGGTTCTCTCTTTTAAATTAGAATATCAGGTTGTAAGGACCTTTGTACAGGGAGAAAGCCTTAGGGTATTTGGCCAAATGAACTGACTGAAGCCAAGTAGGTATGATTAGAGATGAAATTGGATAAAAGGGAATTGAGAGCTTCCTTTATCTTCCCCAGATCTTTGAGAATTTCTTCCAGTAGAGAGAGTGAGAACAGAAATCTGTTGCTGGGTAGATGCTGATTGAAATTTGTGATGGTAACTCTTAGGAATGAAAGGAGGAGGGTCCATACTTCTGGTCTTTATTGCATGAGACACCCTTATTTTCTGCCTCCTTCATACACTACATTCATAATACAGTACAATTTTGTGAACCAGATGGGTCTGAGAAATACACCACGAGTTCTTAAATTTCCCCAAATGCTTTGATGGTAAGCAGGGTGCACTTTCAATAAGCCACCTTGTGGAGTGTGTTTCTCCTTGTGTTCTCCTTATCTGACTCTTTTCCTCCTGTTGTAATATCTCTCCTTTTTATTTTAGTGATATTGTTTTACTAGAGTCTTTATTAGGCTACCAGTCTTTTCAGCTTTCATATCCTTAATGTAATCATTCAAGCATTCATTCAACAAAAATGTTGTAATTATCTATTATCTAAAAGCATTGGGAATCGAAAAAGTGAATAAAAAAGAACCTTTTTCTTCCAGAAGTTCACAATCCAGTGGGTGGGACGTGTAAACAGACAGTTTTAGTGTGAAGTGTTAAAGGTTGTGATAGGGGAAAATAGTGACCACTACTCTAGACTTTGGGGAAGAAAAAGGGTAGGCAGGAGAATAAGGCAAAAAAAAATTTTTTTTTTCTAGGTAGAATAATCAGCATGTGCAAAGGTGTAGAACTGTAAAAAAAATTGCTATGACTGAAGCATGGTGGTATGAGTTGAAGCTGGACAGCTGGGCAGTAGCCAAATTGCATTCATTATAAACTCTTTTTGTGATAGAAAAGGGTTGGGCGTTGGGGGGCAGGTAGATCTCTTGTATTAATTGAAATGTGATTAGAAAGACTGATTCATAGTGTGGTGTGGGTAAGGAGGGGTAGGGAAGATAAGGTTTGGCATGTTACGGACAGCAGGGTGAAGCAGAGGTCCTAGGTCTGACCCTTAGTGGATGGGATCCCAGGGTAGTGGTCAGAAGATGATCACATGTCCAGGGGCTTATTCTAGAGGTGGTGATAGTGATTTGGGATCTGTCATTTAGTACACAGGAGGCTAAGAAGGCTGATCATCCATAAGGTGCCAAGAACCTTGATATTGTTTCCTTGTACGTAAGTCCCCCCTCCATTTTATTATGAAAAACTTTAAACATATGAGAAAGTTGCAAGACTTGTATAGTGAACACCTATATACTCACCACTAAGATTTCACAGTTATTAACGTTTTGCTACATTTGGTTTTATGTGTTTCTATCCTGTCCACCATGCCATCTATCCATCAATCCACTTTTAAAATATGTTTCAAAGTAAGTTGCAGGTATCCACATGATACATATCAACCCTAAACATTTCTAAGCAGGAATTTCTAAGCATGAATATCATAAACTACTGTTTTGTATTAGTTTGTGGGGTTCTTTTGTTGATGTAAAATTTACGCACAATGAAATAGAAAAAATTTTAAGAGGTGGGGTGCCTGGGTGACTCAGTCGGTTGAGCGGCCAACTTCGGCTCAGGTCATGATCTTGCGGTTTGTGAGTTCAAGCCCTGTGTTGGGCTCTGTGTGGACCTCGGAGCCTGGAGCCTGCTTTGGATTCATGTCTCCTTCTCTCTCTGCCCATCCCCTGCCTGTGCTCTCTCAAAAATAAATAAATGTAAAAAAGGTTTTTAAAAAAAATTTTTTAAGGGTACCATTTGATGAATTTTGACAAGTGTATCCAACGATGTAATCCAAACATTCATTAATATATAGAACATCTCTATAATCTTAGAAAGTCTCTTCAAGCCTCTTCCTAATTTCTTTTGCCTCCACTCCCCTAAGACAACTACTGTCCTATGTTTCACCATAGATTAGTAGCATAGATTATAGATTTTACTTAGATTTAACTTCATATAAATAGAATCATACAGTTAGTTTTCTTTTGTGCAAGTCTTTTGCTCAGCATAATGTTATTAAGATTCATCCATGTTGTTGAGTGATTCTGGTGTGTGCATACCTTTTATTGTGGTAAAACATAAAATTTAATTTACCTGCCATTTTGAAGTGTACAATTCAGTGGCATCGAGCACATTCACACTGTGGTACAGTATGCCCCACTATCCACGTCCACAAGTTTTTCATCTTCCCAAACTGAAACTCTGTACTCATTAGACAGTAACTTCCCATTACCCCTCCTATAACTCCTGGTTACCATTATTCTACTTTCTGTCTTTACAGGTTTGACTATTCTAGGTACCTCATATAAGTGGAATCATACAGTATTTGCCCTTTCGTGTCTGGCTTGTTTTACTTAGCATAACATTTTCAGGGGTCATCCATGTTGTTGTATGTATCAGAATTGCATTCCTTTTTTTTTTTTTTTTTTTTTT